AAACTAAACACTGAAAGCATTCTACCACCAAAAATAATAAAACAAAAACTAAACACTGAAAGCATCCTACCACCAAAAATAATAAAACAAAAACTAAACACTGAAAGCATCCTACCACCAAAAATAATAAAACAAAACTAAACACTGAAAGCATTCTACCCTCATAAAATCCAACTAAAACCAACCACTGAAAGCATCCTACCCCCAAAAAAATAATCCAACAAAAACTAAATACTGAAAGCACCCTACTCAAAACAATCCAACCAAAACTAAACACTGAAAGCAACCTACCCCCAAAACAGACCAACTAAAACTAACTATTGAAAGCATCCTACCCCTAAAAAACAATCCAACAAAAACTAAATACTGAAAGCACCCTTCCCCCAAAACAGCCCAACAAAAAACAAATACTGAAAGCAGCCTACCCCCCAAAAAATCCAACAAAAACTAAATACTTAAAGCATCCTCCCGCAAAATAATAAAACAAAAAATAGACACCAAAAACATCTCCACCCTAAAAATATTACAAAATAACAGACACTGAAAATATCTTCCCCAAAACTAATACAACAAAAATTGTTATTATTGACTTGATAAGCCTGATAATCCATGTTTTTTGTTACACCTTGTAATTGAAAGAATTAACTATAATTATAAAACTCATGTAAATATACTTTTCCGATTTTTGAAAAGAACGACTGTATTATCTGGATAACAAAAATGGCTCCATAATAGGTCTAGTCGATGTACGTTGGTTTATCACTCACTTCGAACGATTTCAAATAATCCATTTATTTATTACTGATTGTTTGTAATTAAGCACAAAGCTACACAATAAGCTATCTGTGCTCTGCCTACCACGGGTATCGAAACCCGGATTCTAGCGTTGTAAGTCCGCAGACATACCGCTGGGCCACTGGGGGGGGGGGGTATTACTGATAAAGATGTTAACGTATAAAATGTAACTGAAAAACAGTTAACTACACTTTTCGTTTTTTTTAGTTTTTTTCGAAATCAATGATACAATTTCACAGTTTGTTTATAACTTGTGAAATACATTTTCCGCCACTGAAAACCTAACTTTGGCAAATGTATTCGATTAAATCGTTTATTTTAACTTACAGACTGGTGTGAATTCCACGAGAAGCACGAGGAAGCCCCTCCTCTACTTAATCGAGTTATTTACTGAGCAATGAACAACGTTAATTAAACCTAAATATTATTCAAGTTACAATTGGATAGTTTCAAACGTCAGAAAAATGGCAAATAGTTTTTTTATTTAAAACAAAAACAAAAAAAA